AGAACCACAGCAGAACCACAGCAGAACCGCGGCTCAGAGGGAAACACTCCACAATAACATAAAGTTAAAAACGTTTCATTGTAGGAATTATTTCAATTCTAAACAGTTTAGCTACGAATGAAGGTAGAAATAAAGGCTTTATACTGAAGGGAATAAAATGGCTGACATCTCTGGGTTCCAGCAAAGGATTGTGGGAGTTTAACTGCAGCAGAGGGAGCGCGTTTCCTCTGATGGAGGCTCCTACCTTTAGTGATGTCCGCTCCCTGGTTGATGGAGGCAAACAGGGCGTTCCTGGTGTTTGCGCCTCCATCTCCTCCCACTGCAGGAGCTCCACTCAGGTCCTCGGGGGGAGGAGGAGGTCCAGGAGGAGGGGGAGGACATCCACCAGCAGGAGCAGCAGGAGCAGCAGAGGCTGCGGCGACGGGACCCTGAGCAGGACGGGACATCATGAACATCAGAGACCCGTCCTCTGATTGTTCTCACCACTGATTCTATTCACTGGATCGCTAACAGCTCGGAAAATGTGAAGCCTCCGGACGCCATATTGGTACTCCCCACTCCCACAGAGACGTGCAGTGAAACGCTTCCCTGTGCAACCAGCAGTTTTCTGGCTGCAGGAAGACGTTCCTCAGGTAATTTCCCAGTCAGTGGATGAACTAAGCAATAAATCCATCTATAGCCGATGGATCCTATAGTTTAGTCTGCAGACTAACATTAGTCTGCAGACTAACATTAGTCTGGCTATCTCAGACTGACTGGAAGACATTGACTGAGTTAGACACTGACATTGGGTCCAACGTTAGAAAATAGAAAGTAATTCACTGTGAAATGTTAATGTAGGAATTCTTCATTCATGATTCTGTCGTTTTTGTAGCGTTTAGTTTATTTCTCATTTGAAAAAGTCGAGCTGAAATATGTTTTAGGTTATATTAATGGATAAAAGGCCGATGCACCGGCAGCATAAAGGATATGACATCATTCATGCATTAACAGACACGTGCTGGTAATTCAGACCTGATGTGAAATATTGTAATTTTATGTAAAATGTAATTATTATAAAAATGTCATCAATACATGTTTATTACTTGAACATCATTAATTTATCACTTTTGGCTCATCTGTATTATTCTGCTCCTTTAACACATTAATGTTATATTAGATGATTTATTGACGTCATAATGACGCGATGTGATTGGTCTATTTTTTTATTCTAAGTTAAAGTTAATCTACTGATGCTATAAACATCCAGTCTGTGTTAAAGTGATGAATTTATCTTTATTTTAAAAGTCTGAAAATGAGAACATCATGGCTTATCGATGCTGCAGAGAACAGATTGTTTACATTGAGACCGGTCTAACTAGGGAGTACCAATATGGCGGCCGGCGGCTTCACTTTAACCGCGTGCTTTAACGTCCAATCAGAGATCAGAGGTTGTGACTCACTGATTTGCTCCAGGTCAGGCCGGTGGTGTGGTGCTGTTTGATGTAGTTCTGCAGCTCGGTCCAGACGGACAGGTAGGCCTTCACCCAGTCCACGTGTGTCTTATCCCTGCGAGGACAAGAGGGACAGAAGACACGTCACCTCTGACCTCTGACACAAACACTTCCTGTACAGACAGGAAGCTGCTTCACTCACTTCTCCTTGTAGTCCTTGAGCACTCGGTTGGTGTAGAACATGGCGGCGTCCTGCATCTCCTTGACGAAGGGACCCGGCTTTGGAGCC